GATCCGCTCAGAAGGGATGTGCAAGGAACATTACAGCTGCCTGTGAAAACATGCTAAATCATCAAAGGTTTATTTCCTTCTTTAATCTTGAAACAACACCACAAACTAGAGGTCAGCCCCCTCATGAGGCCTAAGTATGTCAGTGTGTGTGTGTATTTTTTTATTTAAGAGAGATTTTTTTGCTATAGGGCTTGTGAGCTTGCAGGAGAAACTGAAAGAGACAGAGAGATGGAAAACAAGAACTCACCCCCCAGGGGGTGGGTGGCCATGCTGCAATCCCTTCTCCTCCATTCTCTTCTCAGGATTTTGGGCACAGATGTAGATGCGCCTAGTGTGAGTTTTAAGCCACCAGTCCAGGACTCGTTGATCAACAAAGTGGGAGTTCAATAATATAACCATTATGTCATCTGCTAGTCCCAAGGCATAAGTGTATTCCCAGATTGGTCAGGATGCTGCTGATAAAAAAGATGTCTTAATTTGTTTTGACTTTAGGAAACAAAGATTTTGATGGATTTCGGGTTTTTTTTGTTTTGTTTTGCTTTGTTTGTTTTTCTGTTGTTTTGTACATTTAACAAAGCATAAACCATTGAAGTGCTACTGAAAAGGAAAAAAACACCTTTTTTTCTGGCTAGGGCAAATTAAATGTGAGATTAGACTCCTGTTTAGTTTGCAGAGAAAAAGGAAAAATTGACCAGTTAGGAGAGGGGATTCTATTATTTTTTTTTCTTAATAACATAAGCAATAGTTTTTTATATTGTAAATTTTTTATCTTTTGGCAAAGCAATGAAGCCTTCATATCCCCTAATGCCTCTTTCACTGATCAAATTCCTGTCAACTCTATCTTCCAGAGAAGGAAAACAAGGTGAAGAGTGCTTAAGTACTTTGTCACCCAGCGTCAAGCATCAGACTGTAGATTTTCTACTCAAAACCATTACATATACTTTATTTAGCCTCACGAGTCCAAGCAATATCTTATAACTTAGCAATAGTGAAATGGTTATGAAAATTATTTTAATTGGACAGAAAACTATTCAACCATTAAAATAAACTATCATGGAGAATGAAACGTGAACTTTAAAAAAATTACAATAAACCCTAAAATAAAATAGTATGATCAACTCACTGTGGTTGCGATTAGAAACCATGACTCTCGTGAGGGGTTTAACATACACCAGTGTGCAGGATCAGGCATGTGCACTTGGGCACTGAGTAAAAGCTGAAGTAAGAATACAAGGAATAAGAAGAGCTAGCCACCTCCCAAACTGTATAATCAAACAGACAGCAGTCCACAGAGTCTGTCCCAGGAACTGTGACAATATACCCATGTGATACTACACAGGCTTCCCACTCAGGACACTTGAACTGAATGATGGCAAAGAACATAGAAATGGGAAATGGAGATGGCGGGAGAGACAGAGACAGAAAGAAGACTTTGTCTGGAACATCAAGCAGAGAAAAGTCAAGAAGATTGAAATCAAAGCCTTTCCCCCAAGTTCAGTAGAGAAGAGAGACCAAGATTTGGTCTACTGTCTCAGAGGGTGAGCAGGGCTCCCTCTGGTGCCAAAGACTGGGAAAGCACTGAGAAGCTTCTATTATTCAAAGGAATCCTGCAAAGTGGGCAGTTGATAGATGTGAGGTTCAGACCAGATAAGAAGCTGGACTTCTCTTTTATTAGAGTAATTTCTAGAAATTGTGAGGAATTAAAACTGTAAAACACTAAGAGCTAACGAATCATCTAGTATAGAGCAGTAAAAGATGTTTTAGGTCTTACTGACCAGGGCCTTGGAGGTCCTGATAGCTCTCTAGCCTTTGTTCCTGTGGGATTCTGGGGAGAGCCATGGGAAGGCATGAGTCATGCACATCAGATAGACCTGCACAGGGCTTGGCAATAATCACAAAATATGGAAGGTGATGCATGCGATTAAAAGGGCAATAAACTTGTAGATATTTTTTATTTAAACTTTTTTCTGTGGTATTATAATTTTTTTTTTATAATTTAACAAAATCTGGTAATTATGGAGGCTCCTCTTTTAGCTGTGCCCTTTAGTTGTGTGGTTAGGTTCTTTTGAGGCACATTGTCAATGACTGCACCACTAAATTAATTTATTCACAGTAGATATTCATCAATGCTGGCTGTGGTGAACAATCTCAGTGTATTTTTGCAAAGGTTCATGATAATTTAAGATATCAACCTCTTTTTCCTTAGAGCAATGTCAACAAGTTCACCCTTCATGAAAGTAACAACAACAAAATGCCACATGTTTCAGAGCTAACAAATATCGAGAGGCAGTTAATGGTTTTCCTTTTTCTTTTTTCCTATATTTCATGAGACTATTCATTAGCTTTTAACTGACATTCTATTTGGAGCTTTGCAATAGCAGAGAAATCATACGATGTCAGGCCAGGCTGATGTGACTCTCATACAAATTATATCTGACCCTCGCACTCAATAATACTAGAAACCTTCTGTGATAGAGAAATTCTTGTAAGAGTGTTTGTTTGTTTTTCCTCTTTCTTCCTTTCATCTTTCGTTCTCTTTCGTCCCCACCTCCCCTTCTTTCTTCTCTGCCTCCCTCTCTCCTTCTTTCCTTCATTTCCAAAAAGTTTCAGAGAAGTTACCTGATCATCACTAGGTAAGTTTTTGGATATGCTAGTTTTAGGCTGGCCCTGCAGTCTGTTGGTTACCCATATGGCCAAATGTGGTTCAAACCTTGGCCACTGCAGCTTGGGAAAAAAACCAAAAACAAAAAAACAAACAAACAAACACCAGGCACATGTGTATATATGCCCCAAATCCTGATAGGATGGAGAAGTGGAAGTAAAGGGATTGTGACATGACCATGCCTCATTGAGGGTTTCTTTCTCTCTCTCCCTCTGTCTCTCTGGCAAACATATGTGCCCTCTGGCTCTTTACCCCCAAAATAAATTGTAGGTGTGCTAGTTTGGCACCTGAATTCCACTTACTAAGTTCATGAACTTAGTTAAATGCTTTATTGTGATAAGTTGACTTGTGAGAATTTTAAAGTCTGCCCATTTTTTATTACAACCACAAATTTGAATATAAAATACTGAATAAAGTGACAGAATACTATATCATTTGTTTTATTTCACTAGATTGCAATAAGCAAACTAATGACTATCTTATTTCTTTTAGATTTTTATGGAATTAATTTTAATATATACCTGTACATGTTATACATGTACATTATTAAAAAAAAAAAAAGTCTTGGTCACAATTCACAGATTCAAGGTTTTTTTTAATTGGCCAGAAGAAGCATGTATTCATGAGAGAGAGAGTGAGAGAAAGCACACTCCATGGGGGATAGTCATGCCTCAATTCCTGCCCTCCATTACTTCCTCCTTTGGGGATTTGAGTGCATGTGTACAGATGCACCAAGCATGTTTTCCAATCCACTTGGTCCAAGTCTCAAACTGGTCTGTGAGCCATGTGGGATCCAGCTACCTTAACTACCATGCCACTGGCTGGCCCTAGATTCAGATTTTAATATTAAACACATTTTAGTATGAAACTATCTTGCAAGTGTTACTGGATCGTCTTGGGATTTAAAAGATTCAAGTGCCCCTGTGAAGCTGCACCATGCCTCTGACTCTCTAAACCAATATTCATCACCCTGTAGCAACTGGCCAAATTTCATTTCTGTTAAACAACCTATATTATCAAAAAACTTTACGTTTATCTTGTGTGTAGCAAAAAAAAAAAAAAAATTAAGTATTTTTTAGTCATGATAGAGTGCACATGTGAGCACGTGAGAGTGAGAGAGATGGAAAATGAAGTGCCCTCCACGGTGTCTGGCCATGTGGTAGTCTACTTCCTCCAGTCCTCTGATCCCTCAAATGCTGAGTCCCTGAATACAAGCCTGGAGTTTTTCAGGCGGACCATGCCTATAATTTGAACTGGGGTCACCTCCTGGGATCCAGCTTCTCCTAAATACTGCATTACTGCTGCACCAGGGAGCTGGCCCCTAAGTTGCACAATTTAAGTATTGATAAAATTGCATCCCAAATCGAAGTTGTTCTAGGACATTCACAATAGGAGGAAATCCTACAGCTGAGCTTTGCAAACTGTGTCAGACTACAGACATACAGCATAAATGATCTGTCCCACACTGATCCTGGGCCAGCTTGCTGCTAATAAACTTTTATGGTGTCTAATCTGTTGCATTTCCGGTGACTCAGCCAGTCCTCCCACTCTCTGTTGTAAAGAGGCATGGACCATTTTAGAATAGTTAGCAGTATGCACTCTTTATGCTTTGATGACATCAAGGAGAGTTATATTTAGTCACTAAGATGCAAACATTTGTCCGTGGAACCAGCAACACCTCCCCCTTTTACCAAAATGAAACATCATTCTCCACCAAGCAGCTAACTTTTGCTGAACATTCTCTTGTGGTCAGGCACTTTTATGAGCACTTTTTTTTTTCACTTTAAGAAGTCTAGTTTAATTCCAAGAGATTAATCCAGAATGAACAGTATCATTTTCTACTATTTCTTCTTGCATGGTAAGCAGGAAAGAAATAATTTTCTATAATACGTTCCACAGATCTTTATGTTTCTTCTATAAATATCTACAAGTTTCCTTATTTGTATATGTGCTACATTTAATCCTTAGATGTAAGAATCCTAAAAGGATTAAAACGTCTTCTTGCAACTATTACTTTATGCCTATGAAGTGTGAAGGCCACATCTGAACTTGTAATGGCCTCCCATTTTCAATCTAAGTATAATGTCTTCCAAGGATGAAAACTTTTGTAAATTATTAGTGACCTGACTCCATTAAAAAAAATGGTTTCAGCAAATATGAAAATAGAAAATACTATTATTTATTTGCTAATTCCTGATATAAGGGGGAAAAAAAGAGATGTGTTCTTCAGAAAAAGTGTGTTTAGAGAACAGTTTTGATAGCATTTCACACGGTAAAGTATCCAAAGGCCTAATAAGCAGCCTTTGTGCTCAGTGAAAAAAAAAATTTCATTGTGCTGCTCTTCTGAATTGCTCAGTAATTCCAAGTGATTTTCAAATTTGGAGGCAGATTACTGGCATTAAGTTCATCAAATTTAGATCTATCTTGAACAGGGGCACTGTAGAAGTCAAGAACTTCCTTGATCCTACACATTTGGTGAAGCCTGGAGTTAGGCACTGCATGGTCCAACTCATCAGCTAAATGTGCTAAGAGATTCAACTTCAGATGAACATCTTCCAAGGAGACATCCTGCCAATTAGTGGGAACAGATGAACCAAAAACTTCCTTAACACGGGATTCCAAACGACTCTGGAGATCTTCAGGTGGTATGTCAATTAAAGGTGGGCACACCAGGATACGTTCTTTCTTCACTTCTTCTACTGTCTCAGTCACCACATGTTCTTTTTCTTTTCTGGATGGAGACCAAAATGCTCTGTGTGGCGCCCTGGAGACTGGCCAGGTAAAGCCTTTTCCGGAAATGCCAGACACTGACAATGCCGCCATCTTCCCGGAGAGTTGAAGCTCAGGTCTCCTGAGCACTTTTGATCTAACTCATTTCAATCCTCTTAATAACCTTAGGGAATAGATAATACTCCCAATTTTTAGATGAGTAAACTGAGACATAGAAGTCAGAATTACTTGCTCAGGCTTACACCAAGAAACTGGGATTCTAAACCAGGTTGTGTAGCACCATCTCCTATACAATAGGTTTTTTAAAAAGTTTACTTATTCCAGAGTGAGAAAGATCCAGAGACAAAGATACTGTACTCTGGATCATGGGCACATGTGTGCCTGGTCTACTAGCAGAGGTCTTGAGGAGGGCTCTGGACTTGAACAGGCAACCTTCCAATGTAGGCCTGCCTCACAGGGCAGTCAAGCTTCTGGGTTTGTTTGTTTGATTGTTTTTAGCTTTTTGCCATAGGGCAAGTGTAGTAGCCAGAGAGAGACAGAGAGTCAGTGAGAGAGAAAATGAGTAAGCACTCCCCGGGGGGATGGCCATGTTGTAATCCTTTATCCTGTATTCTTCTGGAATTTGGACTATACATGCACATGTATCCAGAGTGATTTTCAAGCCCCTTGTTCTAAGACGTGAACTGTGGCCAACCATGTGGGAGTTCAGCATCTCTCTCTTTTTTTTTTTTTTTTTTTAGAGGGTTTTTATAAAAGGCACACTCGCTTGCAACAGACAGACAGAAAGTGAGAAATCACCCCTCTGGGGGTGGGGGGGAATGGCCATGCTGCAATCCCTTCTCCTCCATTCTCCTCTCGGGATCTTGGGCACACACGCACATGTGCCCGGCATGAGTTTAAGCCACCAAGTCCGGGATTCGAACAGCAGTCCCTACATGGGAGTCCAGTGACATAGCCATTATGCTAACTGCTGGTCCCAAGGGAGTTCAACATCTTAACCTCCAGTGCACTTTAGGGCACTCAGGTTTTACTACTACACCACCTTCTGGCCTCTCCTAAGCATCAGTCTTGATTTTTCTTTGGTCGCTCCTGCCTCAGCCATCACCTCGTAGTCCTTAACATACTGTCTGTGTTCCAGCACACTGGACTACTTTGCAGTTCTCCAAACATGTTTCTATTCTTTCAGTACTAAGCTAGATCGCTTCCTATGCACTGCCTTTGTACCCTGCGTATGTCATACTTTTGTTTATTTTCTCCCTCCCCTGCTCCCCACCAGTGGGTATATATGCTCACCAAAGAGAGAGAGACAAAGAGACAGAGAGAAGGAGCGGAAGAAAAAGCACTACCTAATAAGGCATAATCTTGCCTCAATTCCTTCTCCTGCATTTCTCCAGCCTATCAATATCTGGGGCACTAAAGCACTCATGCTCTGCATCATTTTCAAGCCCTCAGTGTGGGATTCAAATGGTCAGCCATGTAGAATCTACCTCTCTCAGCCACTAGGGTAGAGCAGCTCCTTTTGACTTCTTTGTGATGGATGTCTGCTAGCCTGTTTAAAACCAAGGTATTAGGTGGGCTTTCAGAGAAATTCTGTAGTTAGAGAGTGTTTCAGGGGACATTCAAAAGAAGAGCTAATTTTTTTTTTTAACCTACGTGTCACTTTGATAAGCTCACAGTTATTGGTCCCCTTTTTGTCCTTTCTCACAAATACGCTTTTGTTTAGTAAAAATACATTCATACTCTTGTGTCGAAGAAGTAGGAGAACTTAATTCTTCTCTGTCTAGCTTTACCAGAGTACATTGAACTCTGATTATTTCATTGTGGAACCAATTTGTACAGGTACCAAGTTCTCAATACAGTTCAAATTCTGTTTCTCCTGGTCTTATTTTAAACTCTTTCAGAATTATAATTTCCTTTTACTTTCTGTATTGGAAATATACTGTCTTCTCCTTCTGTTTAGGCCATGTCTAATGTCATCTGTCAGGGCTAGAAGGCTAAGAACTGAAAGTCAGATTTTAAAGAATAGCTAACTCGGGTCTCCTGGTCCCCCTCTGTTGGACTTATGTTCCAGATCCCCCAGACTTTCACCTGCTTAACTATTTCCACATTCAGACATCTGGCTGCTCTTGCATCATCCACATTACTACCTTTAATAGATCACTTCTTGTGACACAAAGCTGTATTTTTATATCTTTCATCTTAAAAAAATCAGTTACTAAGTCCGTAATTCTCCATCATTCTCCAGCTTCTGAACATCACAATAAAGGAGCGAAGGGACTTGTTCTTATGTCCTTGCTCCCTGTGTCATTTTCCTCACCTCTCACTTGTTAATATTTTTTGTTAAAGATGGGGAATTACTGTGTCGTGACCCTCCTGCCTTAGCCTCACAGCTTAGACTGCAGAGCTGAGGCACACACCCAGCTTTTGTTTATTTTTCTTTTTTTTGAGAGCTTTTTAGTTTTTTTTTGTTGTTGTTATTGTTATAGGGTGTGTGAGCTCGCTAGAGAGAGAGGGAACGAGAGACAGGGAGAAAGAAAGAGGGAGAGAGAAATCATTCACGAAGGTGGATGGCCATGCTGCAATCCCTTTTCCTCCATTCTTGGGATTCTGGGCATGTATACACATGTACTCTGCATGAGCCTCATGCCACTGGGTCTGGGACTTGAATGGCATTTGTCCATGTGGGAGTTCAATGCCTTAACCGCTATGTCACCTGCTGGCCTAGTGGGGTCTCACTATGTTGTGCAGGTCAGCCTTGAACTTCGGTTCCTCCTGCCTCCAACTCCTGATTACTGGGGTTAAAGGCCATTGCACCTGGCCTTCAGGTTGGACTGGGAATTGAACTGAGGCCTCACATGTGTTCTCAGCATGTGTAGCGCAGGGTCTCATTCCTTCTGTAACTCGCTTCCATCTGTTTTCTACTTCTTCCAGTTCTCCTGCCAATAACTTTTATGTTACCTAGTTTAGTGGGCATTCCTCCCTCTTCTCAACGTTTTCAGGAGCATCCAACCTTGCTTGTCTTGAAACATTCTCTTCTCTGGGCTTATGTGACATCATATTCTCCCAGTTTTGTTTCTGCTTACTTATGGATTTTTCTTAGTCTCCTCTTTGGATTTACTTCCTCTTTTGACCTTTAAAAGTTTGTGTGCCTCAGACAGGTCTCTGTCCTTTTTATATGTATTTTCTCTCAATTAGCTTTCTCCTTGCCTGACTGTAAAATACATACTAGGGGACATGTGGAACCCACATCTTTGTAAGTAAGGCCAAATCAGGCTCACTGCCTACTTTTGTAAATGGTTTTGTGTGGACACAGGTGTGCTCATTATTGTCTGTGGCTGCTTTTGCACTACAATGACAGATTGAATAACTGCAGCCCAGACCAGTTGGTTAATCCAGTGAATGTCAGTAATTTATTGATTCAATCTAATATTTCAACTTAGTCATCTCTGTGTTTCCGACTGTTTACCTGACATTTCCATTGGAAGTCTAATGGGAATCTCAAACATAAAACATGCTTAATATGGAATGCTTTTATCTCTCCATCTTGCTCAGTTCTGTTTTCTCTGTGTCATTAAATACTATCACCTAAGAGTAATCCTTCAGTTATGCATTTTCCTCAGCTACAAAATGTGATTCATAACCTATTGGTTTGTTGGAAAAGTGATGATGCATTTTTCCATTAAAAAATATAGAAAAATATATCATAACTTTTCCAATGACCCAAGGGTCTTTCCTTTCTTCCAGTATTTTATATTGAGTTTCTAGGCCCACTCTATTCTTTGTTTTTAATAGAGATTTTTGCTATAGGACATGTGTGCTTGCCAGAGAGACAAAGAGAGACAGAGAGCTAGAAAGTGAGAAATCATTCCCTAGGGGGAATGGCCATGCCACAGTCCTTTATCCTCCATTCTCCTCTCAGGATTTTGGGCACCCATGCACACACACCTGGCATAAGATTTAAGTTGCTGGGTCTCGAACTTGAACCATGGTTGACTATGTGGGAGTCTAGCGATGTAACCATTATGCCACTGCTGGTCCCCACTCTAAACTATTCTAAACCAAATGACCTTACATCTCTACTGAACACTGTAAATGTTTTCCTATCCACTTCTTTTTCCAATTACCATTCCTACATTGTAACCAGAATGATCTCTTGAAAAATTATATCAGATCCTCTTACTAAGCGAACAAGCAAGCAAATAGAAAATAGCAGAACAAACAAATAACCTCTTCAAAGATTTCCCAATATATTTAAACTAATCTGATATTCTTACCAGGGTGTTTTCCAGGGCTTGGCAAACCACACACAGCCTGCGGGTCACATTGGGTTCCCTGCCAGCTTTTGTAAATAGTCTAAACATAGACACACTCATTCATTTACATATTACCTATGGCTACTTTTGCACTACAATGGCAGATTGAATAGTTGGAATGGAGACCAAAGTCTCTGATAATTACTATGCATATTTTTATAGAAAATACATTTCTGGTTTATACAATCTTGCAAAATCTAGTTTCTGTCTAGCTCCAAACTCATCTCCAGCAACTCTGCCCTTAGCTCATTTACACCTCACTTGATGTGGCTTCATTCCTATCACAGGACCAGTTCTAGGGCTTCGGTGTCATGAAGGATTTCTTTGTGTTTGTTCTTCCCTCTGCAGGCAATGCTCCTTTCCTGGATCTTAGACTGTCTGGCACTTTTGTCATTAGTTAGCTCACATTTTTTGGATAGAGGCATTCCTTGACATACAGTCTAAAGTTGCCTTTGCTTGTTCTCTATTTCACTGTACTTTTTTCCCCGTTTTATAAAGTTTTTTTCATAGGCGTGTGTGCTTGCTGGAGAGGGAGAGAAGGAAAGTGAGAATTCACCCTATGAGGAGTGGCAATGTTTCAATCCCTTGTCCTCTCTCTTTTTCTTGGGCTTTTGGGCACACACAGATGCACTCCACGTGATTTTCAAGCCATGGGGTCTAGGACTTGAACTACAGTTGGTCATGTGGCAGTCCAGCACCTTAACCACTACTCAATCTGCTGGCCCCTTTGCAGTACTTTTAAAAAAGATCCTTCAGGGACCACCAGATGGCGGAATGATT